AAAAATTCTTGTGAGTTTCTAACAGGAATCTGCAGCACATATTCTCATATATATATATATATATATATCTTGAAAGGAATTAAATAGAGTGTGGCTGCTTTTTTCTTAAACTTTTGTTCTTATTCTGAACTCAGTGAAATGAGTTCCAAGTAAACTTTTGTGTCTTAAATATTAAGAGAAAAAATGATAAAATATATTTAATTTCTTTAAATCAAACTTAAATTAATTTAAATTTGTGCTGTGCTCAAGATACTCACAAGTGCTGACCACATGAAGGTTTAGGTGGGTTTGTCATTCATTACTTAGTGAAATGTCCTTCGAGATTGTTTTTACTGACTTTGGGATTTGATTGTCCTTTGCCATTATCTTGATATTTGATATATTTTATCTGAATATTCAGTATCTTACTAAGGTTTTTGTCTAGGATTGTCTGTCAGAATGTAGCTAAAATGTGTTGAGTAAGCATGGAGAAGGAAAGGTGTGTTTTTGTACTGATGTGAGCCTGGTATTCACAGACCGGCAGGCTTGCTCTTGTCACCTAAGAGTTGGAAACTTGTGATCCGAGCAGTGTTGCAGCAGGAACAGCAGCAGCTCCTGCTCAGGGCTTTGGTCCTTTGGAAGACTGGCAGGCAGGAGCAGCAAGTCTCCTTTAGGAATTCACCTTCAGGGATGTGAGCCCTGTTTTCTGGAGCTGAGTAGACTTTCACTTTTGCTTCCCTTTGACCTTTCCTCAGGTGTCCTTCACACGTCTGTAGTCCTCCTCACAGAGATGTGTGAACGGAGCCCAGACATGCTCGCACATTTCAGAAAGGTAGGTGCCTTCTATGTGATTTTCCTGAAAATTACATGTCTTTTTTCACTTAGGATTTTCTTCTGAAAGCCAGCTACATAAATTGTGAAGCTGAATAAGGAATGTAACTAGCTATGTTGTGTGATAGGGCTGGAGGCCAGATTTAGACATAAGAGCTGAGAGTAGTGCAGTGTTTCCCTTTCAGAATAGAAGTCTTTCCTTGTTGGCAGACAAGCCAACTGCTCACGTGTTTTATCTGCTGTTTTTGTAGTGAGCCAGGAAATGTAACCTGAGCTCAAATTACAAATAGGATTGTTTCTCTTTATTTTTAAGATTGGTATTTTCTGTTTTTTCTTAAAAGTGAGAATAGCAAACAGAATTTTGACTTTATTACTTTGTTACAGCGTTTATTTTAGGCCATTGATTCCTACCCTTTTCAAGCTCAATGTCCAGTGAGGGGTGGCCTCACCCCTCCCCCTCCAAGACAAGTGTTTCTGTGTGTAGCCCTATGCTGTCCTGTAACTTGCTCTATAGTCCAGGCTGGCTTGAATTCAGAGATTCAGCTTCCTCTGCCTCTCAGGTGCTGGGATTAAGAGATGTGCACTACCACCGCCTGGCTTTCTTTTCCTGTTTCTTTTTTCTTTTCTTTCTTTCTTTCTTTTTTTTTAAAAGCATTTTAAAGCAGGCACTTTTATTTCCCCCTTTACTACTAAGAAGGGTTCAGAAGGACTCTTCTCTGTCTAGTTACAAGCATTGGTTCCTTTAGAGAAGGCTGCTGAGCACTCCACAAGAGCTCACACTGTTAGGGGTTTTGTTTTTCTCCCTCTCCCTTAGATGTTCATGTCTTGATTAAATTAATGTAAAATAGTATGAGACCCGTATCTGTCCCTAATGCTTGCTTTGTATGTTTTGTTCCTGTTGTCTGTTTGGAATCCTGCTGTATGTTAGAATGAAAAGGTAAGAATTAACCCTCTTTTTTAGATGGTGCATGCTGGCTTTAGGTCCTTAGTAGCTTTTGTGTATCCATCCACAAGTGTGGCTTTTAACTGTACTAATGCTGAAGCTGTGCTTAATACTGGGAATTATTTGTTCTAGCATTTTTGGCTAACTCCCTGGTCCAGTTTCTGTCTTGTCTTTTAATCGCCTGACTCCAAATTCAGCCTTGGATTTCAGTTGCAGCCTTCCCTGAGTTGTAGCCCTCCTCCTCTGCTTGCCTTCATCTTCATGGGAGAGGCTTAGAGCAGCTGCCCTTCCAGATCTGCCTGGAGCTCTTACACAAAACACTGCTTCTTTTTTGAAGGAGATACTTAAGAGCCATCTGTGGGTAACCCATACTTGAAAAAGCTCCACATGGACTTCTGAGCTTGAGTTCAGGCTTAGAGTTTTTATCTCCCTCTTACCTGGACTTAATTTTGCTGAGAAGCTTTGGGATATTGAAAGGGTTTTAGAGGTGGAGCATTCGGCACCAACTGAGTTTCATGGCTGCAGCTTTTCCTCTGTCACTGTGCTTTGTTTGTCCTGTCATCAGTTTTAGTATCTTGCATTTTTGTCTGAAAACTAAAGCTGGGTTCCAAGAACTTGTATGCTGAGCACCTAGACATGAGCTTTCTGTCCCAGGGCCGTCTTATGCAGTGTGCTGGCCTTGGTAGCAGATAAAGCAATTTCTGAATTTAGTAAGGACTTCTCCAAGAACTAAATCAGATTCTTAAAAGTGATTAGGGCTGTATGCAGTACCAGAATGCAGAGAGCAGAGAGTGTGTGAGGTGAGCCTCGTACCTTTACACTGTGGTCAATAGGCTCACTGAGATTTTATTTTGAGTTTACAGATCTCTGTATCTTAGATTTGTCTTATTCTTGGAGTTGTCCAAATTCGATTTTTGTTTTGATGATTTAGTGAGTCACTAGATTCTGAAGTATTATGGCTACCTGACTTACACGTTCATATATGCTCTCTTGCATTTATAAGTGGCCGTAATGTTTTAGTGTTTTGGGTGCATGTCTTGAGTGTAGCTTGGCATTTCATTTTAATCTCAGTACCTTTCTAAGCTTTGGGGAGTATGGACGGAACAGAACAAACACAAGGGAAAAATGATGAATTGCATCAGAGTTGGCCCTGTTCAGCTTTCCTACAAAAAGATGTAGTGTTTGTCCCCTTTCTTGTTTAGTTTTAGATAGTAAGAGCTGTTCATGTAGATAAATGGGGTTTTCTTTTGGCAACTGGGAAAGTTCAGTTGTGGCAGACATTCTGGAATAGTGGTTTCACATGAAGTCATTGATCAACAGAAAGCAAATGAGCATTCATATTTATTTGCAAGCATCTGTGACTAGATTGACAATAATAATTAATGCAGACCTGGAAAAGGAAGGTCAGAGGAATTTTTGACTAAGGAATGTGTAGTCTTGGGTGTGATAAGAGAACATAATTGAATACTGATACTAAATTTGATAGAATTCTGTCTGAGTAAAGGGCAGGGCACTGGGATCTTAGGTGTGCTTTCTTCATCTGTCATTTCTATTTGGCTCATGTTGGTCATTTTGCTATTTCTTGCTGCTTTTTGGGAAAGGATATATAACTAAACCTATCTTCAGAGGAGAGACTTTTTTCTACTTGAAGTGTGATATGCTTTATATAGGATCATTGGTTAATGCTTTATATGACTTCGTTAGAATGGATAAATAGGAACTGTTTTTTGCTACCCAAGAGTTTTAAATTCTACAAAAGTAGAGCTGCAGTATATCCCGTAGACCTCTTTATTTGGTTCCCATTGGCTCTTGGCCCACTACGATTCTAGTGTCTTTACATATTGAACTCTGGAGGAAAAAGATCTGGCTTGTTTTCATGCTGATGAAGTGCATATTACTTGGTAGGTTTTGGCCTCAGTATCTGAGCTAATACTTCAGCCATTTGCATTACTGTATTTACAGCAGAAGAAATTTCTTGGACTCAGACCCTTGCATCATTTTTCTAAACCAATGAATCTGCATATTGAAGAGATAGACTAATAGAGTCACTATTTTATTGTTGTTGTTTTGATGAATCTTTTTTTTCTTCCCCTGCAGCTTGTGCCCCAGTTAGTTCGTATTCTAAAGAACCTCATCATGTCCGGATACTCCCCAGAACATGATGTTTCTGGTATCAGTGATCCCTTTTTGCAGGTGAGATTGAAAAACATTTTGGATAAATGTCACATGAATACAATGCTTTTGAAGAGATTGTTTTCTTCATTTTAAGTTTATATAGGGTACAAATATGATAGTTCACTAATTATATTAATCAGTGAACCAGGACCAAATAAGTATTGTATTTTATTAATGAAATGACAGTGTAAATGTAAATTTTACTTAGTGGCTGTGAAAAGTAGGTTATCTTATAACTTCATTAGATGTGGACACGTGGATGGCTTCTTTAAAAAGATGTTGGAAATTCTCCTGACTTATCTTTGACGGCATCTGACTTCATTTAAACCGTGTGAGTTTCATTCTGAATGAGAATGAGTCAGACATAATGTGCTGACCTTTTGTATCCTCTGTATTAGGTACGAATTTTGCGGTTATTAAGAATTTTAGGACGGAATGATGATGATTCAAGCGAAGCTATGAATGATATATTAGCACAGGTGAGTTGATTCAACTTGAAATGTTAAGTTTCATTTTCATCTAACAGAGTAGGAGGTGTGGTTATTAGGACAAATAGTTTCTGTTTTCTCCTTAGTGTGTTACTGAAATCACAGTATGTTTTATTGTACTTGGTAGTTTTTGGAAGTGTTGCTTTCTCACTTACATAATGCTGTCTGTTTTTTCAGGTTGCCACTAATACAGAGACTAGTAAAAATGTAGGAAATGCTATTCTATATGAAACGGTTTTGACTATCATGGATATTAAATCAGAGAGTGGATTGCGAGTAAGTGTTTTTGAATCTTCTCTTTCTTCTAAACATTTTATTTAGAATGATTTAATTACTTTGGAGACATGTTCCATTTGGAACTCTAGGAAGGGCTGATGTACCAAAGCATGATACACACGATTTTCTATGTGTGCTTTAGCCTTGATGAAAAGAATAAAGCTTGGAAGAACTAAGGTAGGAATAGAGTTGTATTCCTATTGTTAAGGAAATCTTTCAGAATACTAGCTTTTGCTAGAGACATTGTATCCATCATTTTAAACAAGGCACAGATACAGTATTTAAATTTATTTAAGGAATAAACTTATAGAGCAAGAGACTCAGGTAGTCCTGAAGTTATACTGAGAGAAAAATAGCTTTCCATAGCTTTCACATATAGCCACCAAGACCTTCAGAGAAAAACACTGTTTTGTGATGCTTTGTCTATACTCGAACAGCATCTTCTACATAATATAGACGGGGCTGGCCTGGAACTCTGCTGTAGGGTAGGTAGGTTGTCCTCAAGTTCGTGATTCTTTCTTCTTTAGCCTCCCAGTTCTGCAGTTATAGGGGTGCTCCACGACATCCAGCCCTTTTCTCTACTGTCATTTAACACTGAAACAATTTTAGATTTTTTGAAAGAATTATTATTTTTTTTATTAGTTGTGTGTATGCATGTACATGTGCTTGTGAGCAGCATCTATGGCAACCAGAAGAGGATATCGGATTCTTTGGACCTGGAATTACACATGGTTGGGAGCAGCCTAATACAGGTGCTGGGAACCAAAATGAGACCTCTGTGGTCCAGAAAGCCTAAAATGTTTACCATTTGGCCCTTTATAGGATGTTTGCTCTTGACTTATAAATTAAACATTAAGCCATAAACAAAGCTGTGCATTTATTTTACTTTCTGTGGATGAGTGTCTGCCTGCATGTATGCATGTGCTCCATATGAATCCCTATGCATGCCTGGTTCCTACAGAGCTTAGAGGGCATTGGATTCCCTGGAACTGGAATATGGACGATTGTGAGCCATCATGTGGGTGCCGAGAATTGACTCCAGGTCCTTTCCAAGAGCAACAGGCTGTTGATAGCTAAGCCATTTGTTTCCAGTCCTGTATGCTGGTGTCTTTAGTACTGTGTATTTACTGTCTTTCCCTTTAATTAGAATTTTTGGGAGGAGACACTTTGAGCCTGTGCACATACATTTTTAGGCTTTTGTCCATGAGTAGAATATTACAGTATCCTGTGATATACCAAATCAATTTCTTTTTTTTCTCCTTTCAAGCAAAAGCAGCAGCTGTATATTGTTTTTTACTCTGTTAGGATAACTTTATCTTGAAGCTGCTTTCTTACTCATGTATTACTCATGTGTGCAAGTGTGTGTGTGTTTCCAGTTGTGGCAGAATAAATATAACAGTTTACCATTTGGAGAACTTAAAGTTGTGTAATATGGCCTTAATACATTTATTTATATAGCTAAGTAACCAGTACCACCATATTCTTCCAGATCATTTTTTTTGCCTTCCTCTGTATCCCACCCCTAACTTTTTTTAATTAAAAATTCTTTAAATGATTTTATTTAATGTGTATGGTTGTTTCTCCTGCAAATATATCCATGCACTATTTGTGTTTTTATCTGATGCTTTTGGAAGGCAGAGAGGGTGTCATATCCCTGAATCTTGATTTATAGATGCTTGTAGCTACTACAGGATGCTGGGAATTGAACCCAAGTCCTTTGGAAGAGCAGGAGCCAGAGCTGTTAACCTTGCGCCATTTTTCTAGCCCACCCCCCCTTCCTTTTTTTTTTTTTTTTTTTTTTTTTATAAAAAGAAAATGACTTTAGAAAATTATCCCTTAAAAACACCATTTTTTGTCTTGTCTGTGGGTTTCTCCTCAGATTGTGCAAAGATACAGAAACAAAAACAAAACAAAAGCCCAACAACCATGTGTGATGGGTATACAGCTCAGCTGGTAGAGTGTTGGGTTCTATCCCTTCAGCAAATGAAAAGAACTGTTCTTTTTCCCTTCTGATCTGTACAGTTGCATAATAAATCAATACTTTACTTCCAACACCAGATATGGGGATGATATTTTCAGTGGTCACCAGTTGGTATTCTTTTTTGTTGTTGTTGTTTTGTTTTTTGTTTTTCGAGACGGGGTTTCTCTGTGTAGCCCTGGCTGTCCTGGAACTTACTCTGTAGGCCAGGCTGGCCTGGAACTCAGAAATCCACCTGTCTCTGCCTCCCAAGTGCTGGGACTAAGGGCGTGCACCACCACTGCCTGGCTACCAGTTGGTATTCTTTAATTTAATTCAGTTTAAATATTCCCTACTTCGAGATAGTGTCAGATCTCATAGGTTGAAGGCTTAGTTCTACAGGACAATCTCCCACATCAGATGCTAGCTATGATCAGTATTTTAAACCAGCCAAGTGTGATTCTAGATTCCTACATCCCTGTCTGAGCTTAATTAACATGCCAGAATGGCAGGCAGAGTTCAGAGGGATACTTACTTGTCCTTGTTGTGGTAAAGGATATTCAGAGGGTAAGGATGAATATCTAGATCGGCAAAATGGGACAAAATATATAGGGATGGGGAAGAAACGTTCTTCACATATGTACCATCTTTCAGAAAACTCCATGTGTTTAGCTACTCCAAAACCCCGTTCTTTTGAGTTTTATGGAGGCCTTATTTTGTAGGCATGGTTGATCAAATCACTGGCCATTTTGTGAAGATTATAACCTTCAGGACTTTTTCTTTCCAGGATCTTGAGGCATGGTTGCTTCCTCTGACAAACTAGCCCCATCCTCAGGCCATTCAGGGATCCATCAAAAGTTACCTCATAACAACTAAATGTAGGAAAGGAGATGGCTCAGTGATTTAGAACACTTCCTGTTTTACCAGAGGATTAGAGTTTAGTTCCTAGCACCTCCATCAGGTGTAACTTCAGCTCCAGGGTTCCAGGGTTCTCTTCTGACCTCTCAGGGGAGACACACACACACCATAAATAAGCACACATTTTAAAACTTTTTGAAAAAAATAAAAACTAATTAGGTTTAGGAGCTGTATGTCAAGAAATGGGGACAATGACATATTTCACGTTATCATATATCTCATGAATGTAACCATATAGTATTTATCCTTTTGCTTGTGTCTTCACCCTTTTGCTTATGTTTTGTCGTATGTCAGATGCCTTTCTTGTAATTCCTGACTAGGACTCCATTGTACCTGCCAGTAATATACCCAGCAGTTTTGTTGTTGATGGATATCTAGGACATCTCCTATCACTTGTACCATGCATTTGTCACATACATTCTTAGAGTTAAACTGCTGGAGTATATATTTCTCTTAGGTTCAAGGTTGTTGTAGATTTAACTGTCCTTCTAGCATTGGGCAGCATTCCAAAAATAGGATAAATTTTTATTGTGTCCTCTAGTAATTTTGGTAATTACTGCTGAAACTGCATGTGATTTTTTTTTTAAAAGAATTTATTTTGTATTACACTTGCATAAATATGTGTCCACTATTCTGCACACATGGAGGTCAGAAGACAATTTAAGGGAATGGATTCTGTCTTTCTGTTATATGGGTTCTGGAACTCAGGTCATCAGGTTTGGTGACAGGCCTTTATATACCTGTTGAGCCATCTTTCTGGCCCCTGAAATGGAACATGATTTTAAGAATGCCTTTAGATAACTTTCTTTTGCTAACAATTTATAGATGACCAGCTGCCATCTTTAAGTAGATGCTGGAAATTTCTACCCAGAGGCTGGAAATTTATTCTTTAGATTAAGAAAACATTTTAAATATATAATTTTTATAGATTTTAAAAAACAAACAAATGTATGCTATTTCTCTTTAGGTTCTAGCCATAAATATTCTTGGTCGATTCTTACTGAACAATGACAAAAATATTAGGTAAGTCAACTGAAAAATTTCCAATCTTCTATATTATAAAAATTAATATTTTTACAGAGCAACTTTGCTCAGGATTATATATGTGTGTATTATGTATTGTGTGATCTAGAATTTGAAGTCAGAGTTTCTATTTTTAGTTTAGTCTTAAAATTGCTATTTTGTAAAGAATTTAAGAATTTTGTTTATGGCTTAATGTTTAATTTATAAGTCAAGAGCAAACATCCTATAAAGGGCCAAATGGTAAACATTTTAGGCTTTCTGGACCACAGCAATTATTTAATTCCATTGCTTTGGATTTATAAATCAAATTAGTTTTTTTGGTGGAGGGTGGTGGTGATAGTTTTGAGATAAGATTTCTCCATGTAGTCCTGGCTGTCCTGGAAGTCAATTTGTAGACAAGGCTGGCCTTGAACTTAGGGGTCTACCTGCCTCTGCCTCCTAAGTGTTGGGATTAAAAGCAGGTACCACCATGACCAGATTTAAATTCAAATTCTTACAGATAGGAACAATTGGTATTGGTATTAAAAAAAGAACAGAAAACATTTAAATGGTAAAATTAATTTCCTCTTGTCCATTGTGGCTAAGGCAGTGTGCAAAAGCGTCTAGACCTTACTCTATTTTTTCTTGGGAAGATTTAGAAAGAACCGAGTCAGTTACTCTTAGAAGTTTAAATGGATGTTGTGGAAGCAAGGCTAGTTCCAAAGACTCCCTACCTTGTCTCAACTGTCGACTCTGCTACTGTCCCTTTAAAGGTGTTAATTCATAGTCTAGTTCTGTGTTTACCTTGGAATACTTTCAGATGTGTGCATATCCTCATCTTTTTGACATCTTTGTTGTTATTCAGACAGAGGGAAAACTTCCTTGAGTTTTACATTTTAGTTTATTTATTATGAAACATTGTTCCATGCAGATATGTTGCTCTGACATCTCTGTTGAAGACTGTGCAGACAGATCATAATGCTGTACAGAGACACAGAAGCACAATTGTGGACTGTCTAAAAGATCTGGATGTCTCTATAAAAAGGTAAGAGAGAGAGTCTCCATCATTGTTAAGTGAAATAGTTTTTTGATAAGGCTTTGTCTGTCTTCCATTAATTTGATGGTTTGTAGCAGTTTTGAGAGTTTTAGTATTTAGTCACTGTGTTAGAAATGAGCTCCAGTTAAAGAGACCCATGGGAAATACTGAATTGTGTACTTAGCACGCTCAGTTCTTAGGTAAACTAATTGGCACAAGTGCGTGTGGCCAGTGTTTTCTCAGCAGAGGTGCTGTGTTGTGTGTGCTGGAGGATGAAGTAAGGAGTGATCCATCGGCTAAGTGTTTTACCACTGTGCTGAAACTCAAATTGCTGACAGCACACTTTTTCACAGCATCCCAGGATCCCAGAGGCAAGTGTGATTCTTAGACTGGTCCATGGAAAAATGACTGTAGCAGTTGACACTTTCAAATGTCATAACTCTCTCTGTTCAGTGGAATTTGGCAGTTCTCTTTAATGAACTTTTGCTGTGTGTTCAAATTCAAAACAAAGGCGATTTCAAGTGATCTTTGAAGTTATTTAGTCAACAAAAATTTATGTACACAGAACAAATGCTAAGAGTTTGAACAATCCACAGATAAGACCTAGGCTTAGTAGTATCAGCTTTTTTTTTGTTCTTTTTGCTTGTTTGTTTGTTTTATGCTAAATGGTTTCTCTGTGTAACAGCCCTGGCTGTCCTGGAACTCTGTTTTTGTAGACCAGGCTAACTTCAAACTCACAAAGGATTCACCTGCCTCTGCCTCCTAGCTGCTAGGATTAAAGGTGTGCACTACCATGTCTGGTTTTTTTAGTAATGCCAGCTTTTAAAAATTATTATTAATCATTTTATTCATTTACATTTCAAATCATATCCCCCAACCTGGTTACCCCTCCACCAAGGCCCTCATCCCATCCCCCTTCCCTTTGCCTTTGAGGGTGCTCCTCCATCCATTTACCTACTCCCATCTCCCCCTCGAGCATCCCCCTGCGCTAGAGTGACAAGCCTCCCTCCCTTCCCATTAATACCAGATAAGACTGTCCTCTGCTAGATATGTATCTGGAGTCCTAGCTCCCTCCATGTGTACTCTTTGGTTGGTGGTTTAGTCCCTGGGGGCTCTGGGTCCAGTTAGTTGATTCTAAAACCAGCTTTTAATAGAGCTTTGGAAAGGGTTTTATGGCACCTTCTTGGTTGGTTATCACAGTAAGTCATTAAGAAGCAAATATGTTCTATATCTGATTAATAGACTCATTAAAGTATAGTCACAAAGGGAACAGTTGACTGTAACCCTTGAAACTTTAAGCCTTAAACTTTAACCCTTGAAAGGGGCAATTCTAGAAATAGAAGTCAGATCTTCTTACTCTTACGTTTGTTGGGTTAGGGCATTGACAGAAGATGCAGTAGTAAGAGCTGAGACTCAGGCCAGAGTCGTGTTTCTCATTATGACTCCACTAACATTTTCCCCACCTTTTCAGTACACTGTTGCCTCCTGGGTAAAATGCAGGTAGAGGGCCACCCACTTTGAGAGGTTTACACAAGACTAAACTGAATTTATCTATTAAAGCTATCTTAACTTCTTATGAGAATGATTATATCTTCGAGGGTTGAATTGCTGTTGTGTATATTAGTTAATTTGGAATCATGTACTAAACCTAATTGTTAGTTTTGAAATACAGAATATGTTTAGTATTTTGTAATCCCACCCGATGGTCTCAAGTTTTTCTGTCTAGCTGAAGTTGACTTTGAACTCCTGATCCTCCTGTCCCCAGCTCCTGAGTGCTAGGATTATAAGCACGTATCATCATTCTGTTATGAAAAATATTTAAAAATTTGACCAAATATGAAAAACATATTTGGTCTTATACAGAGTTTTGTATGTTAAACATTTTTAGCTTTGCCTTTATTACCAAACTTAATAGGCATCTAAAAAATATTTTTATTTGGTCTTATAGATATTTTCCTTTTTTTTTAATGGTCAGTTTCCTGTTGTTTTTTAGTATATTTTAGTATATTTTTTAGTATATTTTTTATACCTTTTCAAAATAATTATTTTTTGATATTATAATATAATTATATCATTTCCTTCCTCCAACCCCTACCATGTACTCCCTTGCTTTTATTGGCCTTTTTCTCTTTAACTATTGTCACATATATGCATGTGTATATGTACATACATGTATATATACACATACCATATATATATATACACATACATACACATATATATGTATGTATGTATGTGTGTATGTATATATGCATACATAAACATTCCTAAATATATATACATATAACCTATTCAGACTGTATGATGTTACTTGTATGTATATATGCTCTCATTCAAATTTATATCCTCTTTCTCTTTAATTATTGTTAGGTGTGTGTGTTTGTGTCTCTTACTCTAAGGAAGAGTATTTTTCCCTGCTCTCAGCATTCCTTAGTCCTTTGTTTATGATTGAGGCCTGTGTGCTTTCTTCCACATTAGCATGTCTGTTGGTGTCCTATTCATCTTTTGGGGACTAGATCTCTCTATGTAGTCCTGGGTGATATGAAAGTCATTATGTAGACCAGGTTGGCCTTAAACTTGTGATGATCTTCCTGCTTCTGCCTCTCAAGTGCTGGAATTACAGAGATCCACCTGCTTCTGCCTCCTGAGTTAGAATTAAAAGCATGGACCACCACACATAGCAATTCTTGTTACTTTTAAATAGGTACATTTATGTGTGTTTGTGTATAGACTTCCATGTGAGGTGCTTCAGAAGTAAGAGACTTTGGATTTTCCTGGAGTTGGAATTAGAGGTGGTTGTGAGGTGCTTGAGGACTTGAGTTCTTAACGACTGAACCGTCGCTCCAGCCCCATAACCAGTGTATTTTAAGATTTATTTTAATTATGCACCCCCTCCCCCCTTTTTGAGACAAGGTCTGATGATCGTGAATTTCTTATCCTTCTGCCTCTACCTTCTGAGTGCTGGGCGTATAACTATAGCCCACTTGCTCAATTTCTGCACTGCCGAGTGTGGAACCCAGGGCTTTGGACATGACAGGCAGGCACTCTTAACAACTAGGCTACATCCCCAGTCCTATGATACTGTTTGATGTAAGAAAAGTTATATTTAGGCAGAAGTGGAGTACAAGTAAAATATCATAAACAAGTGTCATATTTTTAAAGAAATAATGCAGAAGCATTATCATTGGGTAATAGCTTTTTGCCTCTTTTTGAGAATCTTAAGTCTTAAAAATTTCAGTTTTATAGAATAGACTAATCAACTATAGTTAGTAGACTTTTTCTAAGTTTTTATTGGTGTTGTTTGTTATTTAATTCATTCATCTAGTTATTATTGATTTATGGGAAAGGTTCTCAGGTAGCTTAGGCGGACCTTTTTCTAGCTGTGTAGCTGAGGACACTGTTGACTTCCTGATGTTCTTGTCTCCATCTCCCAAGGGCATATAGATACAAGTGGTCGTATAGGCATGTGCCTCCACGCCCAAGTTCTCTCGAGGATTTCAGGAGAAGGGTATTGGGTTAGCATTTACAGTACCAGAGCTATCATATGAGTACATTTTCATGTTTATCTGGCCTGTAAAGAGTGAAATCATAAGACTCTACAGATGTTTATTCCGCTGCTTTTGGTTTATCAAGAAAATACCTGAGTATTTGTTACATTCCCACCATAAATATGTTTTTTCCCCCTATGCAAGACGTGCAATGGAATTGAGTTTTGCCCTGGTGAATGGGAATAATATCCGAGGCATGATGAAGGAGTTACTTTATTTTCTGGATTCCTGTGAGCCAGAATTTAAAGCCGATTGTGCATCTGGAATCTTCCTTGCTGCAGAAAAGTAAGCTTTAATTTTTATTTTCATTGGTAGGAGGTGCTTGGAGCTTCCTAAAAGCATCTTTAAAACATGGTGCCAAGTGATACTGTAGCATTGATTTCTAGCTCTGAATTACAAGTAATTATAGCTAATGTTGAACAATGATAAGACCAAACAGAATTCCACTTTTGAGAACTTTGCTTCTGTATCCATTCTCAGCTTCACACCTATTATGAAGAGGCAGAAGAGCTTCTGAATTCAAGCTGTGTGTAAAACCTGACTTACTCAGGGCTTCTCAGTTGTGGCACTGCTGTCGTGCTGACACACATGCATGTAGAGGTCCAGGGTTGATGTTCTCAGTTGCTCTTCCACCTTAATGATTGCAGTCTCTCAGTGAAACCCAGAGCTCCATAATTTGGTTAAGCCTCTCATCTGGCTTGCTCTGGATACTTGGTTTTCACACCTAACACACTGCATTTATGTGAGTCCTGTGCTCTAACTCTGGTTCTCAGGTTTCTGAAGCAGCTGCTGTAACCACTGAGCTGTCTCCCTCCTTATTTGCCTTCTTTTTTCCTGACAGTATGACTTGTCTTCTGAGAAACTGACAAAAGTCCCATGTTTTCAGCTCAATTACTCCTATTGTAATAGTATGGGCAATGTGAGTTTGATTGTATTTGATCATTCATTGAAATGATGGCTTCTGGTAGGTTTCATGGTGTAATATCTCCAAATAGAATCATTTTACTAGAAGGCCTAGAGAAGACTGTGAAACAGAGCTTTTTGAAAGTCATTGGGTATAGTGCAGTTTATTAATTGCAGTGTTTTTCACCTTATTTTCTCAGGTACGCACCTTCCAAACGGTGGCATATAGATACAATTATGCGTGTCTTGACAACGGTATGTAGCTTTTTAAACCAGACTATATAGTGAATATACCTAGAAATGAGGCAGATGGGAATTGTGTAACTGTCCTGGTCTTGCACTGACAACTTAGGAGGAAAGAGTTTGGAGCTTAGAAGCTACAGTTCATCATAGAAGCTGAGGCAGGAACCTAGAGGCAGAAGTTGAAACAGAAAATGCTGCTTACCTGCTTGTTTCCCCATGGCTTGCTCAGCTTACTTTCTTATAAAACCCAGGACCACCTGCACAGGGGTGGCAACACTCTCAGTGAGCATCCTCCTCCCTGCCCCCAGATCAGTCATTAGTCAAGAAAATGCCCACAGGCTAATTTGTTAGAGACAGTTCTTCAGTTGAGGGTCCCTCCTTCCAAGTGACTGTAGTTTTTGTCAGTTGACAACATACGTGTTTTACTGTGTTGGCTAGGCTAACCTTCTAGCATGTAACATAATGTCAGGTAGGGATAGATGCTGGTGCATAAGGCACCCAAGCCAAGTGTTTTGTATTTTCTGTGGTTAGAGAAGGTAAAATTTGAGAAATGGGCTTAGTGGAAGGAGGAGAAGGCCATGCAGATATCTCAAGTCCGTTCTAATCAAAGGGAGTGATAAGTAAAACAGTCCTGGGGTAGCAAGCCTGGGCGGCTTGGAGAGCAATAGAAAGACATTGAAACCAGGAAATGGAGAGAAGCAGTGGACAGTTTGATACCAGAGACCTAAATAGGTGTCACTATACAGAGCTTCATAAGGGTTTGAATTTTATTTTGAATAAGGTAGGAAGGTGTTAGAGATTATTTCTTCCTTGCAGTGCCGGGTATTAAACACAGGATCTTACACATTCTAGGCAAGGACTCAAACTTTGAGTTCTATCCTTTACTCAGTTGTTGTGAGGTTTATTTTATAGTTCTTGTTTTAGATGTTGTCTTTTCTTTCTTTTGGGATTCTTCTCGGATTTGAGGGTTTCTTTTTTCTTTTTCGACTAATAAATAGAGTGCGATGGAATAGTAAGAAGATGTACCGCATGACACGATGCTACTAGAAATGGATACCATAAAGGAAAATGTCCCACATAATGACTGCATTTAAAATTAGAAATTCATAAACCAGCAGATCTAGGAACTAAGTTGGGAAAACATCGTAACATGACAGCATATTGATATATTTAATATGTAAATAAAATGAGAAAAATCCAGTGGCCAGTGATTGGCATTGGAATAATAGTTCACAAGAAGAAAGAAATGGTTAACAAATGCAAAACACATTTACTATCAAAGACATAACAGGAAGAGTCAAAACAAAGTATCATTATTAATCTGTGGTATTTTCTCCTTTGAGACAGTCCTCATGTAGCTCAGGCTGGAAGAACACTGGTTGTACAGCCAGGGCTGACTTTGAACTCTTGATCTACCTCGTGAGTGCTGTGATCATAGGGATGTGCTGCCCGTCCTCATACTTTTTCCTTTAGCTTGGAAACTTAACCTTAAGAGCTGAGCCATCTCTCCAGCCATCCTTTCTGTTGTTGAGACAGAGATCTCACTGTGTTGGCCAGCAGGACAGGTGTGGCCCACCCACTAGGGTTCTAGTATACATTCTAAACCCAATGTCTAGTATTGGTTAAAGAAAATGAACAGGTAGCAGTGACTGCCATCAGTCCTTGGTGACCTGAGTCCAATCCCTGGAGTGCTCGTGTTGGAAGAAGAGGACTATCAAAAATTGTCGTTTGACCTCCATATCCATGCCACAGCACACAACAAACCCATACATATAAAATACATAAAAATGTGTAATTAATATTTAAAAAAATAGAGAAGCAGGCCCCACTTTTTACTTGATACTGTAATAAATTGTGGTATCTTTCAGAGTGCATTAAGGAAGCATGCAATTAAAGTGTTATGTTGTACCTTTTGCATTGATACAATTTTTTAGGTTTTAGCTTAGGAAAATAAAAAAGACAAGTGCAGAAAAATATGAATGTAAAAAATGCTCGTCTTGCTGTGGTAGTGGTGGTACACGTCTTTAACCCTAGGCAAAAGCTGTGGATCCTTGAGTTCAAGGCTTTCCTGGTCTGTAGAGGTAATTCCAGGACAGCCAAGGCTACACAGAGAAATCTTGTCCATAAAAACAAAACAAAGCAAACAAAAAGTTTCAGTCTTGTTTTATAATAGAGGCACACTGGAAGCAATTATTAGTGCATAACTGAGAATTGGTTCAGTAAATTATGATTTACATGCATTTGTTGCTGGACATGGTGGCTTATGACTATAATCTTAGCACTTGGGAGACTTAAGGAAAAGAACCTCCAGGATTTCAAAGCTAGCCTGGGCTGTAGAGTAAGTTTAAGGCTGGCTTAGACTGTAGTATAAGACCCTGCCATTTGACAGACAGAGCACCAAAAGAATTTGGTAGAGAGTTTTCTGGGATAAGCTAGTTTTTATTTTGCTATTAGCAATTTAGTTAATTTCCTAGAAGACTGTGATGGTTTGTCTATGCCTGGCCCAAGGAGTGGCACTATTTCGAGGTGTGGCCTTGTTGGAGTAGGTGTGTCACTTTGGGTGTGGGCTTTAATACCCTACTCCTAGTTGCCTGGAAGCCAGTCTTCCACTAGCTACCTTCAGATGAAGATGTAGAACTTTCAGCTCCTCCTGCACCATGCCTGCCTGGACGCAGTCATGCTCCCACCTTGATGATAATGGACTAAACCTCTGAACCTGCAAGCCAGTCTCAGTTAAATGTTGTCCTTATAAGAGTTGCCTTGGCTATGATGTCTGTTCACAGCAGTAAAAACTAAGACAAAGACTGAAAGTTGATAAATGTGATTGACAATGGGAATTAAGTGTATTCTAACAAAAGTTGTGATAAATTAGAACTCTCATTCTTATGATGACCATGTGACTTTTCTTCCTTAGCCCTATGAAAATATAACATTAGAATCTAGCTGCTGCCTTACAACAGGTCTTTGTCTGACAGGCACCTTACTGGAACATTGTAGCTAGAGTATTGATGTTAAGTATTCGTGCCACACATGCCCTGCTCCTTGCTCCTTCCCTGTCTCCTACCTAGAGACAGGTTCTTGCTATGAACCTTTGCTCTCCACCAAAAGGTTTAAGAACAGGAGCATACTTGTACCACATGGCTCTTGATTCTCTTCAGAGACCCCGTCATGCTGAAAATTCTGGTCTAGGGCCTAAACCTTAGAGCCCTTTGTCTAGCTTATAGAAGTGATTTTTATTTGTGAAAATGCATTAAGCGTTTTTTTTTTTTATGGCCAAAAATGTGGCTTTTTTGGTTTAGTGTGAGTTTGAAAAGTTGTTTTTTGTTGGATATGGTAGTTAGTTTCTCAAATTGTGGTGATACTTCTCTTTTTGAAAGTGCCTTACATGGGAGTATGTAAATCCTTAAGCCATACTACAGATCTTTTTAGCTTCCCAGTTTTCTTCTTGACCATTTTCTTTGTGTTGAGCGAGCATTCTGGTTGCTTGTGATACTCCAGTACTTCCCGAATACACAGGGTTAGGCCTGGCTTGTGTCTTGTAAGTGAGCTCTGCTGTTGTGTTCTGCAGTGGAGTGATGCTAGCTGGGATCCCCATTCTATGTCACATGTGGCTAGTTATAGCATTCCAATTCCTGGGATTTATCTTCCCCATAGGTTAAGTGGCTTTGCTTTGTCATGGCTGAAGATACTGGGAGAATATTAAAAATATCAGATTTAATAATTGGGGATGGGGTTCCCTGCAGCTTTCAGGCTGTAATACTAGCTATGCAGGAGTCTGAAAGTTCAGTTCCTGCCTAGGTAGTGAGACTGTGTCTCAAAATGAAAGTCAGGGCTACAGAGATGGCTCATTTAGTGAAACACTCACTGAACAAATTGTGGGCCTGAGTTTGATCCCCAGCCCACATAAAGAAAAGGTTGGGTGTAGTGGAGCACACCTGTAGTTCCAGTGTTGTGCAGGCAAAGACAGATTCTTGGAGCTTGCTGGCCAGCCAGCTCAGCTGAATTGGAAGCTTCTGGATCAGTGATAGGAGTTTATGTCTCACAAAAATAAAAAAAAAAGTAGAGAGTGACTGAGAAGGACACCTGATGTCAACCTCTGGCTTCAGTGTGTATGCATATACACACATTCATAGACACAAAGGTAAGAAGAGGGTGGAGGCGGGGTTGGTGCTGGAGAGACTACTCAGTGAGGAAGAGTACTGTTTGCTCTTATAGAGGACCCAGTTTTGGTTTCCAGCACCCACTGGCTTACCTGTAACTCCAGTACCAGGGTATCCAATGCCCTGTCTTGACCTCATGGATATCAGACACACATGTAGACACACATGCAAGCAAAATACACAACTAAAGGGGGAGGGAAGGCGAATGAAGGGAAAGTTGAGCGATAGAGTGCTTGGGTAGCATTTACAAGACAGTTTTCAATCCCGGGGCCGAGCCAGAACCGGCAGATCAGTGCATGAGTAACTAAATGCAGACCATCCCCATCATTCTCACTGTTTGCTTATTGACTGCATAATAGCAGTTAAGTACTAGTTTTTAACAACAGTGTGACACTTAAATAAGCTGATTGTTGGAATTCCTCTGCTGCGCTGGGGTGTAGTGTAGTAGTAGTGTTTACCTGGCCTTTGTGAGAATCCTGTATTTGCCCCTAATGATGAAAACAACAAAATAACAACAACAACAAAACCAAAATGGATTTGTCCTTAGCACTGTGCAGAGGTGCCTGTTGTTGCTTTCTCCAGAGTGAGTGCTGAAACTTGCTCATGGGGTTTTAGTAGTGTTAGGAGTTGTGAAAAACAGAAGTGGTAATGAAGCTCACAAGGAGTGCATTTTTAAAATTTTTGAAATTTCAAGGTCTTACCTAAGTAGAAAAAAAAATGTCATCCTCGGGAATTTGAAACTTTGTATTAAAAAAAAAAAGAAACTTTGTATTTTGATTTTGACTGGCTGTGTGTGTGTGTGTGTTAGAATTTGTTAGAATTAAAAAGCTTAAAATATTTTAGACACTTTGAGGCTGGGGCTGTTTGTGGACCTGGTGGTTAGAATCACTCTTTTTGCTTTTTGATTGTTTATTTTTTTGTAGTCTTTTCCAAAAACAATGGCAAACCTGGTCCCCTGCACGTGGCCACACTGCTTCTGTGGTCTTTAGTAACTGTTCCTGTTTCTTTTTAGGCAGGAAGTTACGTTCGTGATGATGCCGTTCCCAACTTGATTCAGTTAATAACCAACAGTGTGGAGATGCACGCTTACACCGTCCAGCGCCTGTACAAGGCAATTCTCGGTGATTATTCTCAAGTAAGTACTTCATTTTCTGTTACTTCTTGGGACGAATACTCTGATTTTCTTCTTAATATCACTAACACTGAGACATATAACCTGTTTTGAACCTTACAATTGATGATATGTAATTTACATTAAATATTTTTTTGGGCCTGGGCAGTAGCTCAGCCATTAAAGTTTCTGGACTCTGCAAGCATGAGGACCTGAGTCTTATACCTTGTACCTTTGGTTCTTTTTTTTTTTTTTTTTTAAATCATTTATTAAGTCTTTTTTGAGACAAGATCTCACTGTATATCCCAGGCTAGCCTGGAGCTTACTGTGTAGACCAGGCTATACACAAGTTCATAGACAAGATCTAACTGTATATCCCTGGCTAGCTTGGAACTCACTGTGTAGACCAGGCTGCACTCAAGTTCATAGGCAAGGTCTCACTGTGTATCCCTGGCTAGCCTGGAGCTCACTGTAGACCAGGCTGCATTCAAGTTCATAAAGACCTGCCTGCTTCTGCCCTCTGGATGCTGGGATTAGGAAGGGCGTGTGTCACCAGCTCTTTGTACTGCTCCACCCCCATCACCTCTGTTAAAGGCACGTGTGGTGGCTTAGGCTTGTGTAATCTAGTGCTGGTGAGGAGGAGACATGTTAATTCCTAGGGCTTTCTGGCCAGCCAGCATAGCCTGCTTGGTGAAGACAGGCCAGTGAGAGTTCCTGTCTCTAAAACAATTGAACAAAAACTGTGCCTGAGCCTGCAGATATTGCCAAGTGGATAAGGCCCTGTCTGCATAAGCAGAAATCTTGAGAACCATAGTTGGGGTCAGTAGAACAAACATGAAAGGCAAAAGTGGTATGCACGAGGTCCCGAGCACCAACAGAAGAACAGAGAAGTGCTTGGGTAAGCCTGCTCACCTGTGATTCTCATACTCATAGGGTCCTAAGACCCCCTAGAGCAGGCTAAAACAAACCTGGTAACCATATCTGTGAGCTCTTGTTTAGTAATAGAGAGACCCTGCCTCAATGAGTAATGTGGAGATGGAGTGAAGATGTCAACCTCAGGCCTCGACTCACACGTGTGCACATATGCACATACACCCACACACAAGTTCACATGCATACACACATTAGAAAAAAAGGCAGACAGCATCTGAGGAGCAACAGAGGTGGTTTTCTGGCCTCTACTTTGAGCCATGTCCGTGTACACACACTTAAACTGATATATACAGACACACTCACTACATGTATACCTACCTGTACATATATAAACATATGCACATACAGAGACACATGCACAACAAAGAATTTTTGGGAAGATTGAAGGCCTTGACTTTCTTTTGGCAGCAACCCTTGGTACAAGTGGCTGCGTGGTGTATAGGTGAATATGGAGATCTTCTTGTGTCTGGCCAGTGTGAAGAGGAAGAGCCTATTCAGGTATCTCTTGCTACTCTTGGCTAAGGAGGTAACGAGAATGTGTTTTTGATGATGGAGCAATGTTTAATGGGGAGTTGGAATTGATTCTTGGAAGTTTTTCACAGTAGTAGAATCTAGACTGTGTTTAGACATGTGGCACTCAGAACACGCAGTATCTTGGATTGTGTGGATTTAAGTCTATTTTAGTGGGGCTGGGGTATAGTAGAGTTCTAGAGTTCTAGATTAGTGCTGGGTTCAGTCCCCACTACCCAACACAAAAAACATGATCACTGATGTCTCACTCTTCTCCATTGCAAATGGAGTTCTGGTTTCTCCCACTCTAGGCAGTTAAGAAGGCATGTGTTTACTTCCATTTGCTCATTGAAGAGTTGGCTTTTGAAAGGGTTTTGGCAACAGCCTTGAACTCTTTATGTCCTGTATGCTGCTTCTCTTTCTGCCATAACCTGTCCTTAATTAGCAATGGCCATTCAGAAACCTGCTCTGACCAATAGAATAACAGCACACACTGCATGAGAAGTAGCATCCTCCAGCTCACTGATTCCTAGCTTAACTGTTTCCATGGGCTACATGTTGCATCTTCTTCCTCCCAGGTGACAGAAGATGAAGTGCTGGATATTTTAGAAAGTGTCCTGATCTCTAATATGTCCACCTCTGTGACAAGAGGTTATGCTCTCACTGCCATTATGAAGCTGTCTACTCGATTCACCTGTACTGTAAAGTGAGTACTGTGGGGAGTAGAGTTGAAAGGGTCGTTCTGTAACTCCCCAAGGGTGATCGACGAGTGTCTTCACTATCACTCTCCACCTTAGTTTTTGAGGTAGGGTTTCTTAACTGGAAGCTCACTCATTTGACAAGTTGGCCACAAAGCTTCAAATAATCTGTATGAGTGATCACCTCTATAGTGCTAGGATTATAGGTATGTACTGCCACATCTAATGCTTGTATGGGAATCACTTTACCTGTCTCCCTAGCCTTGGTTCTGTAGTTCATTTGGTAGAATATTTATTTGCCTAACACACACAAGTCATGGGGCTGATCTCAAGCACTGCAAAAAACAGGGTCTGGATCCGGTGTTTATGATCATCCTTGATTACATGACTAATTTCAGGCTAAGCTAGCCTACATGAGACTGAGAAATTTAAAACCTTATCTTAGAAAATTTCAAGAATAGACAAAAATGGGGCTGGAGAGATGGCTCAGTAGTTAAGAGCACTTGCTACTCTTGCAGAAGATCTAAGTTGGATTCCCAGCATCCACATGGTGGTTAACAGCCATCAGTGATTCGTTTCAGTGATACAACATTCTCTTCTAGCCTCCTCAGGCACTGCACATACATGGTGAACAGACACACGTTCAGACGTGGTACTCATACACATAAAATAGAAATAAACCTTAGAAAAAAGGAATGGAGAAAACTAGAGACAATAGTAAAATGAGTTTGAATTTACTTAGTACCACACACGGATGATCAGTTCATTGTTAATCCTTTCATGTGGGCGTTTTGTTCTGTCATTGTCTCTCCCTACTGTGCATTATTTTGTAGTTAAACTTAAAGTTTTATAATACAGTTTCTAAAATTCGTGGTTTATTGGTTTTTTGTTTGTTTGTTTGTTGTTGTATTTTGAGAAATGGTTTCTCCATGTAGCCCTGGTAGTCCTAGAACTTTCTCTGTAGACCGGGTGGCCTTGAACTCAGAAATCTGCCTGCTTTTGCCTTCCCAGTGCCAGGATTAAAGGTGTGCAGCACTATACCTGCCTTGGTTTATTGTATTCTAAGATACTGGTAGAGGAATAAAATCCAGGTGTGTGTGTGTGTGTGTGTGTGTGTGTTTAAATCTTTTGAGTTTTACTTGGTGCTGTTTTGAGCAAAAATTGACTGAGGTCAGTTTTCCAGACAAAGTTAGTTTTCCTGGACTTTTCTATTTCATTTACAAATAAGGCTTTGTGAGAATTGTAATTATTTTAGTGTTTAGATTGTAATGAATTTAGTGTTTTAGGATTGTAGTGAGCATTCTGATGCTAAAGTCAATAAGGAAGAGAATTGGATAATGTATGTATTTCTTTTGTGGGTACTTTTGTTTGCAAGGTTTTTTTTCTCAGTGGGGAGATTGATTATTCTTCAGTCCTCACACATGCTATGCAAGCACTGTACCACTAAGGTGTGTTCCCAAACCTCTAGTAAGTTTAAGGATGTGGGAGAAATAGTTAGAAATTTCTCCTTATAATTAGAATATTGATAAATAAATGAATAGTGATAAGGGAATTATATTTATTCTTGAAACACAATTTGAATTAAGGAAACATAGATAATTCAAAAATTTAACCAAGAAACTCTGTTTTTAACATTTTCACTGCTTAATTCTAAGTTTTGTTGAGAATGCCTGATTTCATTTATCTTGTTATCTCTGTCCTACAGCCGGATTAAGAAAGTGGTTTCCATCTACGGGAGCAGCATCGATGTAGAGCTCCAGCAGAGGGCAGTAGAGTACAACGCACTCTTTAAGAAGTATGACCACATGAGGTGAGCAGAAGGGACCAAGCAGTGCTGTGACTTGTCCTTGTAGTCCCTGAAGGACACTTGTTGCTTGTGCTGCATTTACTGAGCTTATAACCCTTCTTCGTTCTCACTGCTTGGCTGCTTTTGTTTTGTCCATTTTCTCTTCTTTCTAACCTCCTAAGAAATAGAGACATTGAGTCAGATGTGGTAGGGCACACCTTCAGTCCTACCACTTGGGAGGCAGGAGCAGGTGGCTCTATCTGAGTTCCAAGCCAGCCTGATCTACAGAGTGAGTTCCAGGCCAGCCAGAATTACATGGTGAGACCCTCTTTCAAAATAAATAAATAAAAATTATTATGTTTTTTATTCCATCTCCTTCCTCTACCCCTGTATGTAAAGTTTGCATCATTTTCCATTTTATTTGGCTAAAAGGAAGTTGTAATTTTTTTCCAAGAGAATTTTTTTTTTTTTTCTTGAGACAGAATTTCTCTGCATAACCCTGGTTGTCCTAGAACTTGCTCTATATACCAGGCTGTCCTCTAACTCAGATATCTGCCTACCTCTGCCTTCCAGTGCTTGGACTAAGGGTTTGCACCACTACTGCCAGGCCCAAGAGAAATAATTTTATTCAAATCCCATAAATCCCATTATTTCTAACATTTTGGTGCCTTGTTTTTTTTCCTTCTTTCTGGTATATAATACCTAATTTCATGGTTGAAGTCTGCTAATACCTGCCGATTTACCTTTTGTTTGTCTTTGTCTCGGCTACTGAGTAGTATGTTTGAGGATTTGGATGGACATTTTGTTTATTCAAAGACTTTTGACTGTTCTTAATCCAATTGAGAATGTAGGTCGTGTATGTATTCTTGTAATCTACCTCCTGTGTCTGTCTGTCTCTCCCTGTGTGTGTGTGTGTGTGTGTGTGTGTGTGTGTGTGTGTGTGTGTGT